ACAAGCCAATATCCGATTGGGCTCCGAAATATCCAACCTCACGAACCGATTGGCCAAAGCCTAAACATCAACTGCAAGAGGTCTCTCCCCAACTGGAAGGTATCCAAACTCCCCATACTCACTGCCTTTCAGCTCAAAGCGTCGGCCACCATATTGGCCTTTCCCGGATGGTACAATATAGTGATGTCATAATCCTTAAGTAACTCCAACCATCTCCGCTGCCTCAAATTAAGATCCTTTTGCTTGAACAAATGCTGAAGACTGCGATGATCAGTGAATACCTCACAAGATACGCCATACAAGTAATGCCTCCAAATCTTCAACGCGTGAACTATGGCAGCCAACTCCAAATCATGAACAGGGTAATTCTTCTCATGGGGATTCAACTGACGAGAAGCATAAGCAATAACTCTACCCTCCTACATCAACACACAACCAATCCCTACTCTCGAAGCATCACAATACACGGTATATGAACCTGAAGCTGATGGCAAAACCAACACTGGAGTTGTGGTCAAAGCTGTCTTGAGCTTCTGAAAGCTCTCCTCACACTCGTCCGACCATACAAATGAAAAACCCTTCTGAGTCAACTTGGTCAAGGGCGATGCGATAGATGAGAATCCCTGAACAAACCGGCGATAATATCCTGCCAAACCAAGAAAACTACAAATCTTTGTGGATGAGGATAGTCTGGGCCAACTCTGCACCGCCTCTATCTTCTTTGGATTAACCTGAATACCCTCACTGGACACCATGTGTCCCATGAATGCCGCTGAACTGAGCCAAAACTCACATTTGGAGAACTTTGCATAAAGCTTCACCACCCTCAATCTCTGCAATACAACCCTCAAATGCTCCGCGTGCTCCTCCTGACTACGCGAATACACCAAGATATCATCAATGAAAACTATGACAAATGGGTCAAGATAAGGCCGGAACACGTTGTTCATCAGATGCATGAACGCTGCTGGGGCATTGGTCAGCCCAAAAGACATAACCAGGAACTCATATTGACCATATTTGGTCCTGAAGGCCGTCTTAAGAATATCTAAATCCCTGATCTTCAACTGGTGATAACTCGAACGGAGATCAATCTTGGAGAATACCTTCGCCCCCTGAAGCTAGTCGAATAAATCGTCAATGCGAGGCAAAGAATACTTGTTCTTATCTAGTCGAATACTCGTCAATGCCCGGCGCACCCCTCAGAACATCATTTACAAGCATTACTCACCTCGAACCGGCTAAATCCCTAGCTCGCGATGCCTTTGCCCTTCGAATTGGCCTCCACGTGCGTCGAATCTATCCAAAATTAGAACGAATACGTCACAATATGCTAAGGGAACAAGGCCTAAGCGAAAACAATCGAAAATACCAAAAATCTCAAAATTAGCAAAACCCGAGCCCCGGGCCCACTTCTCGAAACTCAGAAATTTTTACACCAATAGGTTCTTATCTCCCCATGAGTTTATACATATCAAAAACATCAAAATCCGTCCACAAGTGACCCTTCAAATCCCAAATCAAAAGTCCAAAATTCCAAGCCCTAGTTCATCCATTTTTAGCTTAAGTTTCCATGATTTCCTAGGTAGATTTCATAATAGAATCGAGTTTTAAATCCAAAAATATTACCTCAAATCGTTCCCCCTTGAATCCCTCTTTAATCTCCTTCAAAAAGCTCTCAAAATGATCAACTATGGGTGAAAATAGACCCAAAATCGCGGACAAGACGATTTAAAAACATTCTGCCCAGACCTGACTTTCCTTCTTTGCGAACGCGGTCAACCCCTCGCGTTCGCGTAGCACAAACTTACGTTGACCACTTTTTACTCTTCGCGAACGCGGTACACCCATTGCGAACGTGATGCTTTCTCCTCCTACACCTTCGCGAACGCGACACCCCATACGCGAACGCGAAGAACAAAAGACCTTGGGCCCCTCAGACCCCAAATTACTCTACGCGATCGCGAGTTCCCTCTCGCGAACGTGATTAACTGAACCCCAGCCTTCCGCGAACGTGAAGCCTATCTCGCGAAGGCTAAATCCTGGCCTTCCTCAATTCCTTCTTCGCGAACGCGAGGCTACTCTCGCGAACTCGAAGAGATAATTCTCTGCAACACCTGATCAGATTTTCTGCAACTTCCAAACTCCAAAAATGACTCGATTGACCATCCGAAACTCACTGGAGGCTTCCGGGACCTCAACCAAAAGCACCAATACATCCTAAAACCTTATTCAAACTTGCTCCAATCATCGAAACACCTCAAACAACATCAAATTACCCAAAACACATCGAATTCAAGCCTAAGTTTCTAAAAATCTTCCAAAATACGCTTTCGATCAAAAACCCAACCAAACCACGTCCGAATGACCTGAAATTTCGCACACACATCCCAAATGACACAACGAAGCTACTGCAACTCTCGGAATTCCATTCTGGCCCCCGGATCAAAATCTCACCTACCAACCGGAAATCACCAAATTATCAACTTCGCCAATTCAAGACAAATTCTACTCCGGACCTCCAAAACCCATTCCGATCACACTCCTAAGTCATAAATCACCTCCTGAAGCTAACCGAACCATCGGAACTCACATCCGAGCCCTCTAACACATAAGTCAACATCCAATGGACTTTTTCAACTTAAGCCTTCTTAAAAGAGACTAAGTGTCTCAACTACACCAAAACCAATCCGGATTCGATCAAACCAACCCGATGCCTCAAAACACAGATGAACAAAGCAATAAGAAGCAGAAATGGGGGAAACGGACCGGTAACTCATGAGACGACCGGCCGGGTCGTCACATGAAAACAAAATTTTACATGGAAAATCACCCGGCTTAAGAGGTGCAAAAACCACGACCTACCACGTAGGATTTTCAACTCCAACTCCACTAGAACAATGAGCCAAAATGTATCAATTACAAGACTTTAATTCAATACTCTCCAGTACTCCTACTACTCCTATTTGATTTACAAGTTACTCTAACTTGTAAAGCAAATTGCTCACTCCAATTCACTATTGTTTATGACTTTGATTACAACTCAATTTTGTAAAATACATTCACTAGACCAACTCGAAAGAATACATAAAACAAGTACTCAACACGAGTAAAAACAGCTTATATCACATTAGTTGATGTGTAAAAGCATGGATTGGAAAGCCAAAGTCTATCCTATATAAACACGAGTTGAGATCTTGTAGGAGTCCTATTCAAGGTCAGTTTCCTCTTCTATAGGACTCCTACTATTCCAAGGATTCCACATGCTCTGGGACTTTTGACCCTGATTAAATTATCCAAATCTTCTTGATATACGACCCTTATCACGTATAGCAGCCATCTACCACCAAACTCGGACCTGAGTAACTTTGAGATAAAGTTATTGTCTTGTACATACGTATAAGTATCAATCATTAGGAGCTGATCCTTTAACCTGAGGAGCTAGTTCATCATAACAGTTAAGCAGCTACATTGAGGACCTGCTCCTTTGAGCAGTTAGTCACACTTTGTTAATCATCAAAACTTCAATACTCAACAAATTCTCCCTTTTAATGATGACAAACATTGTGCACAGACAGACCCAGGCAATCACATCAAAGAACCAGATACAAGTCACAACCCACAACCTTCCAACCTTATCTTCCCCCTTTTGTATCATCAAAAAAAACACGTTAGACATTAAGCACAAATAATGTAAGATGCAAGGCCAAACAAGCAACAACACAAGCATAAGAAATGGCAAATAAACTAGGCTGATGATCCAGAAGAGTACAAAGCAGTAAAGCAGAGTAATATGGGACATTAAGTAGTGCCAAAAGAAGCCCAGGGCCTTGTCTTTATCATTAGAACAAAATAAACTAAGCATATTGCAGACAACTCAAACTAAGAAAGAAGAAACAAAAGATAAATATCAATAGAAAAGAAAAAGAACTAAGGACACTAGGAAGGAACAGGTTCAAGGCGAGAGGCATAGGGGGTCAAAGCTTTCGTAAGGGTAGAAATTTGTTGAGCATGGGCCTCCGTGTCTCTTCAGAGCTCTTCCCTGAGTTGCTTAGTTTCCTGTCTCAGTTCATTATTGTCTTCACAAAGCTTGGCATTCTCTTCAACAGCCAACTCCAACCTCTTGCTGAGTTCTGTAACCGTACTGCTCCCCGGAAGAATGGTAGATCCTGTGGGTCCACTAGCCTTGATCTCCTCATAGCCACACTGCTTGAGGGTAACAACATCCATAACATCATTGTGATTTCCAAACTTAAGCTCAGGTAAGGCAATATTAAGCTTGTCAAATAACTCAGTCAACATGAAACCATATGGCATGACTTGCTTTGATTTGGAGGTATCTGCAACTCTTGCCATGTGCTGAATCATCAGGCTAGGGAGATTGATAGGTCAACCAGTGTCAAGTAGTTATGTCATAGCCATGTCCAACAGAGTAGATCCATGTTTTCTCTCAGACCTCTGAAGAATACAGGAGTTGACAAATTGAAACAGTAGCTTGTGAAAGGGAGTCATGTCAGTCTTGTACACTTTTTGGGGAGCATCTAGTTCAAAATTTTGGGAGAACTTCCTGGTGACCACAATAGTGTCAACATCATTTTCTATGGCTGGCTACTTCTTCTTCACATAATTGTCAAATACCAATGAGGGGATATCCAGAAGCAGCCGCAGTTCCTCGGCATCAAACTCCATGTTAAAGTCCCCTACTTTACTCTTGACTACCTTCCCATCAAAAGTGAAATTTGTGTAGAACTCCACCACCGCAGGAACACATACTGGGGGGAAAGTTTTGACAAATATGTGCTTCCACCCTTGTAGCACCAGTTTCACAACCAGTTGATCCATTCCCTTCTTATTAGTTTTTGCAAGAATCTTCCCATTTAGCACTTTTCTGTTCCTGAACACTATGAGTCTATGAACTGCAGTTGTCACATCCTTTCTTGTCTTACCCTACTTGCTCTTGTAGAAGCGAAAGTAGGTTTGGTGATTTTGGCACCCCTTTTCTATGGTGTAGCAGACTCTGCTGGCAAAGCTGAGTCAGATTCCTCTTCTCCTTCCAACTCAAAAATAGGTTCTATAATTGAAACCTTCTTCTTTGGCTTCTTTGTACTTCTAGATTCTTTCATGATTTGTGCATCAACAAGCTTTCTTTTACTCCTTGTGAGGGGATTTCTAGCAGGAGGAGCCACTCCTTTCCTTGTTGAGGCTACTACCTTTGTAGCTTTCACAGTGGCCTTTCTGGACTTCTTTCCTACCTCAAAAAGTGCCATATCATCTTCATCACTGCTAACTTCTTCATCTCCACTGAAAGGAGTTAATAAAGACCCAGGTTCTTGAGGCCTTGTCTCTTTACCAATTACATCCAGTGTTTCCAATTGTCATGGAACCTTCAGATTCCTCACTCACATTCCCCTCTACTTCCTCACTTTCGTCATCACCTCCTTCACTCTCACTTACCTTTTCTTGATCCTCGCCCTCACTTTCAGAAACCTCCTCTTCCTTACTCTAATCTTCTTCTTCTGAAGAATTTTTAGCACGTTCACCTGTCTTCACCTCTGTATCACTCTCCTTCTCATCTCCAGATACTCCCTCATTCTCACTCTTTTCTGCTTTATTGGCTATGTTTTGAGCATCATGTTCCTCATGACTAGTCACATCTTCTTCTACTTTTCCACATTCATCATCTTCCTAATCCTCAGTCCAACTAAAATTAAGGCCATCAAAAGCCTCCTTTTTCACTGGTTCTTCTCGTCCTTCCCCCTCAACCACATGCTCCACAATCGTTGCATCTTCCTCCTATTCCAGATCCCTTGTACGCTCTTCTACCATGAATTTTTCCACTGGCGACTTCTCACTCGTTGGTGGAAGAGTATCTAGGAGTGTAACATCTATAGCAGAAACCAAAACATCGAGCTTAGAAGTAGGATGTGGTACCTGATCAGTAGTTCATATACCTGATTCCCCCTAAATTACAAATTCCTTGACTCCAGTATCACTCTGTGTAGCATCCTCAGGAATTTTCTTGACAGATTTTCTTGATGTTGCTTTGACCTTAGCTGGCTTAGAGGTACCTTTCGTAGGAGGCTCGGGTGCATGGGTAGTTGATTTTGAAGGAGGGGGTACAATGGAGATGGGAATGATAGGAACAAGAGCAGCAGTAGGTATAGGGGAGGATGAGGTAGGTATGGTAGTGGATATCGAAGGAGAAGGAGCAGGTGTGGGTGTGGGTTCTCTTAAAGGCTTGTCATTTTTCTTCAATTTGGGCTTCAAGATTTTTGGTTTTGCTTCAACCTTGGTTGATGATTTAGCTTTAGAGGGTGTTTGACTGGCTTTAGGCATGGTGATCAGATGAGAGACTCGAAGAAGATAAAGAAAGGATTGATACTTGATAATTGCTTTCGGTTCTTGCTTAAGGTTTGAGAGAAATAGTGAGGTTAGAGAAGCTAATCATAAGAGCCTTTTAAAGGCGTTACTCCTAATTTGAATGGAAGAGAGAAGGTGACCGAATTTGAGTTCTAACGGGACTCTTATAACGGTTACTCGGTTACTTTGACTATAAGATATTTAGGAGTAATTGATTTCTAATTGCACAAGGATTCCCCCGTACTCTTTGACTAGAAGACGATTAGAAGTGATGCCAACGGAAGTAAAATTCTTAATATAGCAGTAATTTTAAAATATGGAGTCCTAGTGACTTAAGGCAATATGGTGCATACCTGAGTCAAAGAACCAACTCCTTAGCGACTCCTTATTAGTTTCTGCAATACGCTTCAGCACTTCATATTAGTATCATACAACACAGTTATCAGCCATATTTTTCTCAGCAAGTGTATGAGCATAATACAAGCACAAAGTTGCATAAAACATGTTGTACTTAATTATCTACGACTTATTATGCCTTTTCTAACCAATCACTAGGAGTCAACTTTAGTGGGAGGAGTTGATTAGACTTAGTCTAGTCTATTCCTTTCAAAGTGATCCCTACTCAGAGCTTTAGTATAAATATCAACAATTTGTTCTTCAGTTTTGCAAGAGTTAATTGAGATTTTCCCCTTTTCACCATTGTCTCTAAGAAAGTGATGTCTAATATCAATGTGCTTGGTTCTCTTGTGCTGATATGTATTTTTTAGCAATATGTATGGCACTAGTGTTATCATAGAAAAATAGGAACACAATCAACAAATATACTATTGTCTCTTAGTTGTTGTCTTATCCATAGTACTTAAGCACAATAGGATGTTGCTGCCATATATTCAGCTTCAGCTGTAGATAAGGCCATTGAGTTTTGCTTCTTGGTTCCCCAAGACACCAGACAAGAACCTAGAAAATGAGTTGTTCCTGAAGTGCTTTTTTTGTCAACATGAAAACCTGCATAGTCAGCATCAGCACAACCAACTAGATCAAAGCTATATCCTCTGGGATACCATAGACAGAGTTCAAGGGTCCCCTTGAGATATTTTAGTATTCTTTTGACAGCCTTTAGGCGAGATTCTTTGTGATTTGCCTGAAATCTTGCACATAATCCCACACTAAACACTATATCAGGCCTGCTTGCTATGATGTACAATAATGACCCAATCATTCCTCTGTATAGCTTCTGTTCCACACTTTTCCCTTCTTTATCAAGGTCCATATTTGTTGCAATGTCAATGGGGGTATCAGTAGACTTAGAGGAGTCCATGTTGAATTTCCTCAGCAACTCTCTAATATATTTCTGCTGATGTATCATGGTTCCAGTAGGTGTTTGCTTAATTTGTATACCCAGAAATAAGTTTAATTTATGCTCATCTCGAACTCATTTCCCATCATCTCAGTAAATTCCTTGCACATCGCTTCATTGGTGGCCCCGAAGATAATATCATCCACATATACTTGCACAATTAGAATATTCTTCCCTTTGCTCCTCAGAAATAGAGTATTGTCAACCTTCTCTTACAAAGTTGGCTAAGAGGAATTTTGAAAGCCTTTCATACCAAGCTCTAGGGGCCTATTTCAGATCATAAAGAGCTTTATCCAGTTTGAACACATAGTCAGGAAATTCTTCACTTTCAAATCTAGGAGGTTGTTTGACAAACACTTCCTCCTTCAGGTACCCATTCAAAAAGGCACTCATTACATCCATCTGATATAAAGTGAATTCCATATGGGCAACAAAGGCTATCAGCATTCTTATAGCCTCCATTCTAGCTACAGGTGCAAATGTCTCATCATAGTCAATGCCCTCCTCTTGGTTGTATCCCTTAACTGCCATTCTTGCCTTGTTCCTTGTGATATTTCCTTGTTCATCCAACTTGTTTCTGAATACCTATCTGGTACCTATGACAATTCTGTTCTTGGGTTTCTGTACCAGGTGCCAGACCTTGCTTCTCTCAAACTGATTTAGCTCATCTTGCATGGCTATGATCCAGTCTGGATCCTTTAGAGCTTCTTTGATGGTTTTAGGTTCAACCTGTGAGAGAAATGTTGTGAGTGCACATAGATTTCTTAGAGAAGACCTGGTTTGCACCCCTGCATTTGGATCAGAGATGATATTCTCAAGAGGATGTGAGCTTTGAAGCTTCCATGGTCTGATCTGTATTCTCAGAGAAGATTCACCCGAGAAGTGGCCCAAAAGAATAGGTTTAGTATGTGTGGCTTCATTATTCTGATCAGCAGTTAAGTCAATGAATTTCTTTCTTTTACTTTTATTTTGTTCAAGTTGCTTCAGTGAATGAAAATGCTCAATAAAGCGGGTAGGTCTGAGTAGATCTTTCTTGTTCTGGTTCCTCATGATCAGCGTCAATTTCCTTGTGGTTTTCAGAACCATCTTCATCAGATTCCTTTGTATCTCCATCACTAGTGAATTCTATGTCATAATCTTCATCCTGCAGACCTTTCTCCGCCAAATTGTTAGATTCATCAAAAATAACATGAATATATTTTCTTCCACACACATAGTTATTTTATTAAATTCTTATATGCCTTACTATGTGGAGAGTAACCCAAGAAAATTCCCCCATCACTTCAGTCATCAAACTTACCTCGAGCTTCTTTCCCGTTATTGTGCACAAGACATCTGCGCCCAAAGGCTCTCAAGTGAGTGATGTTGGGTTTTCTACCTCCAAGTAACTCATAGGGAGTTTTCTCAAGAATGGGTCTGACCATGCATCTATTTAGCAGAAAGCAAGCAATATTGATTGCCTTAGCCTAGAAATTCTTAGGTAGTCCACTAGCAATCAACATGGCCCTCCCCATGTCTTATAAGGATCTATTCTTTCTTTCTACAACCCTATTTTGTTGTGGAGTTCTAGGTGCAAAGAAATTATGGTCAATGCCATGTGACCCACAGAACTCAAGGAATTTTGAATTTTCAAATTCAGTTCCATAGTCAGTTCTTATACTTAAAACATTACACCCTAGCTTTTGTTGGATCATTCTGATAAAAACACAGAAAACATCAAAAGTTTTATCTTTGGATCCCAAAAATAGAGTCCATGTATACCTGGAGAAGTCATCAACAATCACAAACACATACCTCTTACCTCCTCTACTCCTTATTCTCATTGGTCCACGTAGATTCAAGTGAAGAAGTTCTAGAGGTTTGGAGGTACTAACATGTTTCCCTCTTACACATGCATCACATACCTTGTCAGATGTGAACTCAACTTTAGGTAGCCCAAGGACCAAGTCCTTTGCAACCAACTTGTTGAGTTAGGAGAGACTGGCATGTCCAAGTCTTCTATGCCATAGTAGTGGATCATCTTCCACTACACTCAAGCATGTGTGCTCACTTTGGGGAAGTGACATAATCGATATCTTGTAGACATTGTTATGTCTCTTTCCCTTTAACACAATTTCATCAGTATCAAGCTTAGTGACAATGCATATTTTGGAATTTAATTTCACCTCGTTTCCTTTGTCGCACAATTGAGAGATGCTAAGAAGATTATGTTTAAGACCTACCACATAATACACATCTTCTATAGCATGAGAGAGTGACTTGCCAACCTTGATAATACCTGGTATCTGGCCCTTTTCCCATTTCAAATGACACACTCCCTCTTGGAAGGCTGTCAGTGAGAGAAAGTTTTTCTTTTCTCCAGTCATATGTCTTGAGCATCCACTGTCTAGATACCAATCCTGATTATTTCCTCTCACCTTAGCATGCACCAAAATTCACAAGTTAGTTTTGGGAACTCATACTAGCTTGGGTCCCTTTTTGTTTGAAAAAGGATGAATCAGATCCCTTCTTGCGCAGAAAGGGAGAGGATTAGAAGTTATTTTCTTGTTAGCCTTAATTCACTTAGTATGGACAGGAGGATTAACCTTTAGATCCTCTTCCTTCTTCACACTTTTAGCAATACTAAAGGTGTTTCTAAACTGAGCATGAATTAAGGTAGGACAAGTGTCTCTAAAGTATCCTACTCTTCCACAATAAGTGCACACTTTATTATCAGAAATTTCTACATACTTTGGGTCAAACTTAAGGATAGGTTTTTCGTAGCCAATTCCAGATTTGTTAGAGCTACAATTTTCATTCAGCCGATTCAATGCATCAGAAGACCTATGCCATTTGCTTAGTTTAGAGAGTTCATAATTAGCCTTTTCTAGGTTTTCATGTCGGACTTTATTTTTACATTCAGCATCACAAAGATTATCATTAGCAATTTTTAATTTCTTTTCAACATTATACTGCAGATCCTTGCCATGTGTATCAGGTGACTTCTCATTCTCAGAAGTAAGTCTTAAGGTCTTTGACATGTTTCTCTAAATTAGCTTTGTAAGATTCAAGCTCTTTTATATCAAGTTTGACACGGACCTGGGTAACATTGAGATAAAGTTACTGTCTTGTATATACGTATAAGTATCAATCATGAGGAGCTGATCTTTTAACCTGATGAGCTAGTTCATCGCAACAGTTAAGCAGCTACGTTTAGGACCTAGTTCTTTGAGCAGTTAGTCACATTTTATTAATCATCAAAACTTCAATACTCAACAATGTTTTTGAAAACGCATCGCTTAATATCTAATGATATATTTTTGTACAATAACTCTTGCACAAAAACTCTTCAAAACCTACTCAATAGATTCTTGTCGAACTACATTTTCCGTTTTCTCTTTTTGTCCCTATAAGTTATTCGATCAATAGACTTTGGCATTGGAAAGATAATTTCTTAACTAAAACAAATATTTTAATCAAGTGCTACATAACAATAAGTTGATAATGCTATGATCCATCTCTTTTGCAAAATAAAGTGCTCCCATATAAATAAACAAACTTCAAAATACATATAGAAAGGAATTTCTTAGCACTATGTGAACACGACTGTATTTTTTTTTTTTTCCATGGAAAATGACTG